GGGTACCCCCCTGGCGGGCCTTGAGTTTGACACATGATGTAGAGGATAGTGACTAAGGAGAGCAGCGGAATGAGGAAATGTGGTCAGTTTGTCCTCCAGCAGTCTAAGCCTATAGCAATAGAACTAATTAACCATAATAACCTAAGGAATAACTCAAATAAAAGTATTATAGTGAAGTCTTTATCTTTGACCATGGACTCTCGTCACTGTCGAGGCTTTCATTCAAGACAGCTGCTTATTACAATAATTCAATAAATGCCTCGTTTTATTTGCAGTATTAGGTTGAAGCAAGTGTCTTCACTCAGACATTGTCAGCAAATTAAAACTTAATCATTAAGTTATTACCATCAGAAATCACCCGACACAACAAGACCATAATGAAATTTGTTGCCAACACTTTTAACAATCGATTTTTATCGATCTTATTGATCAGTTGTTGCAGCCCTGTTTGCGATCTTTAGCTGTACTGCAGCACAAGTGATGCAGCTCCAAAGGTAATTTTTTATGTCTTTTTGGAGTGGTAGTAGCTGAGAGTCATCCCTAATACATAATCCAAGCGCATTAACAGATTATTTGAAAACACAAGAAAGAACAAAATATCACAGAAAATTATGCAATATAATTGTTTTAATTGCAAATGTGATGATCTCAATCTAATACTCTGGCATGAAGGGTAATGTGCATTTATTTAAATAAATGCTGTTTAATTAATTACTGTTATTTAACCATTAAAGACCGTGCAAAGTAAAATTAAATTTGTGTTTTGAGTTTGTCACACGACAAAAATATGTGTTATCAATCACCCATCTAAATTTGACTGATTGAAAACATTGTTTACTTTATAAAATTAAGTCTCAGAAATAATGAAAAAACATCATTGGCTCTGTTCTGAAAACACTGGAGGCGCTGAAACCACTCCCAGGCTGAGGGTCACTGTGTCCATGTCCTGTACTGAGGAGATGTTCGCAAAGGCTGGCAGCCTGTTGGAGTTCTCCAGTCCTACTCATTTCACCAGGCACATTTCCTCTGGGCGGTGTGCTGCGACTGGCTCTGGGTCGGCAAGGAAGGGCTCGGGGGCGAAGGTGGCTCACGGTCTCGGCCGCGAGCTTTACAGCGCCCTCTCTGCTCTGACCTCACCGCTTCACGGGGCCGTGGACTCAGTGCCTCGCTGCGCCCTCTCTCCCCGCTGTCCCCCGCGGGCGAGGGACGGGGCCCCTCTGCCCACGGCGCGACTGTCGACCGGAGCAGACTGCCCTCGAACAACGGGCGCAAGGGGTCAGCGGCGATGTCGGCTACCCACCCGACCCATCTTGAAACATGGACCAAGGAGTATAACGCGCGTGAGTCGAAGGGCCCCCCAAAACCTGAATCATGTACTAAATAGCCAACACATAGAATATTTACAATATAAGCACAAACAGCAACTTACTACGCTTATTGGGTGAGGCATTATCCCACTGTCAGGTGCAGGAGAGGCAGCGATGTCGGGAGGGGAGTCCGGGGAAGAGGCGGTCGGTAGAGCCTCATGAACCAAACTACTGTCCATAAATCCCAACTGTGCCTCCAGATAGTTAGCAAAACTATCTGGAGTAAAATGGGAATTGTTTATCTAGCTAACAACAACAAAATATCTATGCTATTGCTATCTGATGCTATCTGCGATTAGCAAGTGAACAGCAATGGCTGAGGCGAAGAACGTTTTTATACTGCTGGAGCAGTAGGGGGCGGGGTTAAGCCGGGGTCACGTTTAAGGCGGCCGCGTGACGAAACACAGCCGCCTTTCAAAGCACGCCCAGAAAATCCTGAAACAAACATATCTTTAAACGTCCTGATGCATCTCAGTAATCCAGGTAAAAAATCAAAAAGAAAAAAATTGTGTAGGTCTTCTGGACGGGTTCTTTTCCAAATGAAACGTTTCGTCTCTTCTCCAAGAGCCTTCTTCTTTATTATAGGCAGAAACATGGGTGTGCCATGGGATCCCCAGTTTCTCCTATTGTTGCAAACCTGTACATGGAGGAAGTGGAAAAGACAGACTTGATGTCCTTTTCAGGGGTGCCACCGAGCCATTGGTTCAGATACGTGGACGACACCTGGGTTAAAATTAAAGCCCAGGAAGTCCAACATTTCACTG